CTCTGAGTCTGAGTTGCTCAGATGCAATTGGCTTGTGGCAGCAGTGCGGCGAATCCGACGAAGTACATCCTATTGGGACAGGAAGTGGGCCGCAAATGTCTGAGCAAACTCTTGGGTGTGGGATCTCATCGTCTACAAAAGGTAGAGTCTGCAATCCCCGACCTCCGGCATGGCAAGCGTGCGTATCGCAGCCATCTGGAATCTTACTCGGTTGATGCGTTTTTGCAAAATGCCTATGATGCTATTGCAGAGACCTTGCCACACCAGTCCCTAAGCAGCAAATAGGTCGTGGTGCTTGCTCCGACGTTGTCCTCAGCAAATCTTGCAGCGGCCTTTAGTCTGATTCCTTTTGGAATGTATGGAGTTCATAATCTCTCATAGGACCTGTCAGTGGCTCTCAGAGCAAATGGCTCTTGCGAGGTATGTCCGTCGTGGTCGAGCTAGACCGAGAAGACCGGGCCGGTCAGACGACACAGAGGATGAGCTAAGCGATGCCGACCAAGAAATCGCCTCTGACATCGAGAACACAGAAGAGCTTGCCGAATGGATCGACAAGCCAGATGCGCCGATCTTGGCGGCCAGCAGCAGGAAGATTCGCAAGTATCTTCCTCCGGGGAATCTTGCAGAGTTGTTCCAGCACTATCGTGCAGCACAGACTTTGCTTGGACGGCCCGGGGTGGGGTGCCGATCTGAGTTTCGACTTACACCGCACAAACATATCACATTTTCACTCGGTCAGTCTGTGTCATGGTTGGTTTCATCTGAGAGGTACAAGACTTTCTGTCACATCTACTCCGCGAGATGGAAACCGATCCTTGCTTTCCGTGACAAGTCGTTGCTTCCTGTCACAACTTTTTAACATTTTTGTGAGCTCGCTGTCACACATGTAATGTCCAGATCTGAGGTTCACGCAATGTGCTGTGTGCTATGCATATCAGCAGACACTGAAGGACAAGACTGCTGATATGAGCACCAAGTTGGCTGCAGTGTCTGGTTTGCGAAGTCATCTTCACGATCAATATTGCGACCGAGCGGTCGCATGGCAACTTCAAGAGTCTGCCATGGACCCTTTGAGTGGACTCATGGTGGTATGCACCGATGGATGCGACCAGAGCAAGTTCATGATGCCCCGTGACCCAGAGTTTCGCATCTCTGCTGCTTTGCTATTTGGCTCAATACATCAGAAAGCTTCAAGGACAGGTTCCTCCAGATTCATTTTTGTTGTGACAATCCGAGGAGCGGTGAGATGAGACCGCGACTGAAGGTGCACGGTCTTTGGGTGTTTGGGCTGAGCTTGCAAGTCTATGTCATGGACGAGCCTACCAAACATGATAGTGCTTGTGTGGTGGAGTGTTTGGCTCTGAGTCTCGAACGAGATCCTCGTCTGCAAGTCAGATGCATTCTCTCTCTGGGCTGTTCCAATCCTGTTGTGGCTTCGCGATCCTGGCTGTTGTTTAGGTTTCGAAGCTCTGCGAGGAGAGAGGGCATCCTTTTCCACATACACTTATTCTCTTCGTACCTTGGATAGCATCAGGAGCAGCAGCAAAGGAAGATTGACCAAATGCATTATCTGAGTCAGGCAGATAACACCGTCCGGGAGGCCAAGAACCAGTATGTGTTACTGTACTTGGCCGCTCTCGTGGCCCAGTATCGGATGCGCTTCTCCTGTTTGGCAAACTTTCGCAAGAGTCACACCCATTGCCGTATAGGTCCCTCGGAGTCATTTTTCCTGCTGCGAGCATTGAACTGCAAGTCGGCTAAAAGGAGTCTCAGCTGAAGACTTGACGAACTGAGATCAACTCTGGGGATGTCTAGCCAGACGAATCGCCAACGAGAGCAAGTTGCTGAATCCAGATGACGTGTGCCACGTCTTGCTGTCAGAGCTACAGAAGGCAAGCATGCGTGCTTGGCTCGGGCCCAACACAGAAGTGCTCGTCGAGCGACTTGTGTGTGTGAGAGATTGGAGGAATCACCTCCCCACCATCGGTGTAGGCCTTGAAGGTGGGCTCTTGAAGGACTCCTCTTCCAACCACATGTTTTTCTTCATGCTGCGTCGAGGCTTGGATGCAGCACTTTCAATTAGCACTTTACATGTTCCTGCAGACTGCTCTTGCTGCTTGGAGTCGTCTCTGTGTGTTTGTGCTTGGACAGATCTTCCTTCTGCTCTGATGACCTCTGTGACAGAGGGGTCTTTTCGTGGCCCTCGTGATCCTTTGGATGTCGTTGTCCTCTTGAAGAAGCACATCTGCGATCCCATGCTTTCGCAGTCACCTCTGCTGGTTTTACCTCGGACAAAGGCCGACGGATGGGAAAGTCTTCCTTCGACTAAGCGCCCGGGTTGCAAACATGCATGTGTCGACGAGATTTGATGCTGTGGTAGCGAGTTGAGTCGGTCCTCCATTCTGTGACAACATGTGCTATGTGCAGGCGGGTGAACAATCACTCAGCGAAGAATCAGAAAGAGTGGCAAGAGCTGGCCCAGAAAGTCCTGAGCCATTACAATGAGCCTTATCGCAGAGCTGTTGATTACTTGGAGAAGCTGGCCAGAAACCAGTTCTGGCATGAAGCCGTTCTTCGCGACATGCCGTGGCACATTCGGCCACCGGCACCTCCGGTTCGTGCACAAGCAGGAAGGTTCCTGCACGAAGCTGTCGAAGCAGCTTTGGCCCCGGCACTTCCGCTGAAGGCCATTTTCAGCAGACGATGATTTGCTGTCTTTGACGAAGATTCCTTGGCCGATCCTCGGCTACTGTTGCCACGTCTCGCAGACGAAACAAAATGTGCTCCGATCGGCTTCCTGCTTTGTGCATAATTCTCTTGCAGACAATTGTAATAATGGCAGTTTGGACCAAAATGTTCTGGCCGGAGGCTTCTTCTGCGATATCAGGGCAGTCGGGAGCCAAGCTTTGCTGAGGAACATCGCTTTAAAAAGGAGTTTAGAGGCATTTCTGCTGCGGACGAATCTTATAATGTGTAACCCATGTGTCGTCTTGCAAGCTACAAGTCTCAATGTGGATGGGCCATTATAGGAAAAGACACGCATGCTTCTAGTTCTTCTCCCATTCAGTCCACGGCCCTCCTTACTCGTGCAGCATATTGAGAACCTGCCACGTCACTCCGGGTAGACATGCGAGAATGCATAGTGTGTCCGTCGGGCAGGAGATGAGCAAAGCTTCAAATCCCACAATATGGAGTCATTCTTGTCTGTCTGGCAAAATACTGATTGTGCACAACATCGACTTCTCACCGTTACTGTTTGCATTTCCCTGAACACTTTTGATACTCCGGCTTCCTGTCAGTTTTGTTGTGGCATGTCACGGACGAATTGCTTGCAGTGTGGGTCGGAACATACATCAAAGATATGTCTTTCTGATTCTTATTCATCATGCGACATAAGGTCATCGGCCATGATGACTCGGAGACTCTCATCGGCACGACGTGCCCCCAGTGTGCCCGCACGTTGCAAGTGCAGCTGTGCTTTGCCTGTCTGGCCAGCGAGTGTCCCGTGCCATGCCCGGTTTCCTTTGCAGCCACAGACAAAGGAAACGTCATCTCGATCATATTTTTTTCACCCGTGTAGTATCTTCGAGCCTGGGTTACATATGTCAGGCTGAAATGTCCTTCCATTGAATCGGCAACAAGTTATTGATTTCTTGGACTCGATAGTCGTTGTCGAATCACTCTTAATTGATTCGGGGATTGTGTTTGTGTCCGGTCTCACGTTTTGGAGCCTCAACCCTACAACAAAATAGCAGTGGTCCGTGTGTGCGGCTAGGCCCGAGAATCGTGCAACTAACATCCGGATACTTTCCTCTGATTCTGATTTAGCTGATACTACTTCGATGAAAATGAGACACAAAGTGTGACGGTGGACTAATCCGTGAAAATCAATGGGGTGTATTGTGGGACTTCGTGTGCAAATTCGTGTTTCCTAACTTGCCCGAACCCTACATGGATTTTGATTTGGTGTACGGAGGATTCGCATTCCCAAGGTTTGTGTGGGTCCTTGTGTTGTGTTGTTTGTTTGTGTGCGTGTGTGTGTGCGCGTGCCTGTGTGCCCGTCTACATACATGGCTGTTTGTGTGTGTGTGTGTGACTGTGTGGATGCACATGCTTGGGTGTCTTTGCCTTTAACTTTGTGTGTGTGTGTGTGTGTGTGTGTTTGTTTGTGTCTGTGTGTGTGTGTTTGTGGGTCTCTGAGTGTGCTTGTCTGTGTGCTTGCTTGTGTGGGCGTGGGTTGATTGTTTATGTGATTGAGATGGAGGAGGGACGGGACGGGATGGGCTCCGAGATCGGTTGACCCCAAGAATCAATGCACTCTCCGCCGGGGAGTGCATTGATTCCGGCTGTTTCAGTGAGACGGGCAGCGCCGCTCCAACCTAAGAGTGCATTGATCTTGTTCTCGGAAACCGAACATAGGATCAATGGCCTCTCCGGGGTCGAGTGCTGCAACATCCTGGGTTTACTGATCATGATGTTTATTTTATGTTGGAATCTCAACATAAAATAAACATCATGATCAGTAAACCCAGGATGTTGCAGCACTCGACCCCGGAGAGAACATTGAACATATGTTCGCTTTCCGAGAACAAGATCAATGCACTCTTAGGTTGGAGCGGCGCTGCCCGTCTCACTGAAACAGCCGGAATCAATGCACTCCCCGGCGGAGAGTGCATTGATTCTTGCGGTCACAAGAGCCCCGGACTCCGCCTCCGCTCCTCCCGGCTTGGAGTTCGGAAACACCAATAATCAATGCACTCCCCGCCGGAGAGTGCATTGATTTTCCGGTTCCGACGGCGGAGAGTGCATTGATTTCCCGGCGGAGGGTGCATTGATTTTCCGGGGGCCGACGGCGGAGAGTGCATTGATTTTTCGATTCCGACGGCGGAGAGTGCATTGATTTCCCGGCGGAGGGTGCATTGATATTCCGGGGACCGACGGCGGAGAGTGCATTGATTTTTCGATTCCGACGGCGGAGAGTGCATTGATTTCCCGGCGGAGGGTGCATTGATTTTCCGGGGGCCGACGGCGGAGAGTGCATTGATTTTTGGATTCCGACGGCGGAGAGCGCATTGATTTCCTGGCGGAGGGTGCATTGATTTTCCGGGGGCCGACGGCGGAGAGTGCATTGATTTCCCGGCGGAGGGTGCATCGATGTTCCGGGGGCCGACGGCGGAGAGTGCATTGATTTCCGGACGGAGAGTGCATTGATTTTTCGATTCCGACGGCGGAGAGTGCATTGATTTCCCGGCGGAGGGTGCATTGATTTTCCGGGCGCCGACGGCGGAGAGTGCATTGATTTTTGGATTCCGACGGCGGAGAGTGCATTGATTTCCCGGCGGAGGGTGCATTGATTATCCGGGTACCGACGGCGGAGAGTGCATTGATTTCCTCTGTCCGAGACTTGGGATTGTTTGTTCGTTCTCTTATTATACCCGTCCAGGCTCAACAACTTGCTCCGTTTATACATTTTCTATGTTCAACAGCAGCCAAAAGCCGGTACTGGATGTATGTCTATTGCCGTGTCGACTTTCACTGAAATATCAAGAAACTCGCAGAGTGACTGGTCGTGCGATGTCGGCAGTCGCTCTGTGTTGAAAGCTCCGTGACATTTGTTGGGATTCTGGGGTTGTTCTAGAACACCGCTGATTTTACCGTAGCTGTGTCTGCTATCAAGAACAGCTGGCTGACACTTCGCCCCTCGTTGTCCCGTCATGCTGAAGCAAGCTGAGACGAAGGCTTTGAAACCAGAGGTTGGATCCGACCCCGACTCCAAGGGGGCATTGGCTAGCCCTCAGGCCAAACGCAGTTGCACAGAGCTGGAGAAGAAGCTGAAGAAGTTTCCGTGTGGAGACTTGCAGCTGGCAAAGGACTGCAGCCTGCGAGCTCGAGACATGACATGATGATGGTCCTAGAGTTTTCTTGATTCCGATCCATTTCCCGTACAGGACATACTCGCCTACACCCAGCTTTTTCGGAATGAAGCTGCCATCCATGCCAATGCCCATCCGGCAGCGTTGGTGCTTGAGATCTTGGCCTCAGGGTCGGAGACAGATCGACGACTACACAGCAGCCAGTTGGAGGTTTGGTATGACGAGTATGCTAAGAAGCGCTCTGGCCTGGCTGCCTTCAAGAAGCTGGACGAAGTGGTGTCTTATCTTCATTAAGAAAAGTCACAGATGATTGAGGGCATGGCAGACTTGCTATCGGCAGGTGCTCCGACCCGAAGCTGCAGGATCCGTCATGCACGTTCCTCTGATTGCACTGGCGCCGCGATCTCAGCGAGTGCTGTTGGAGTTTGGGAAACAGGTTTCACACAAATAACCTTCTCCATGCAAGGTTCGACACACCAACGGACGGACCGCCTGTCATCGAAGACTGGCTCGGAACATTCGAGAGCATGTTCTTCGGCGGCATAGACTTGACCCGCGAGCCGCTTGACGTGAGCATCAAGTGTTCCGGATATGGAGGCGGGGTAGCATGGAGCGACATACAGGGGCACGACAAGTATCACAAGTAAGAGATGCGTCCGATAATTCCCCTCAGGTTTGACCGCTTCATGCTTCGACGTGATCAAGGGCTACACGCGAGCCAGCGTGATCATGACGGTTTTGATCGCGGCAAGTGAATTGGACACGAATTCCGACAGCTGGGACATGCTGAAGCCTCTCTTTCCTTTTCTGGACAAGGCTTGGATGGTGCCTGTCGTCGCAGCTTCGCAGCAAGAGTCACCGTAATACTGAGTCATCTCTGTGGTTGGTACAATACTACTGAGTTACACATATCCAGCCGCAGGTTTCTATGAATGTGGACAGCGTCAGCCAGAGTTTCCGCAATTTGATGCTCAGCTATCGTGGATCGGAACGACAAGCGCCGAACACTTTGCAGCTGGCTCTTCGTTTCAGCAAGGTCATGGACACACGCAATGAGCAGGGCAAGCACCCCAAGCACTGGTCCACCATGGAGCGCTTGAATTCTGTGATCGAAGAGTACAACTCAATGGACGGCTTGCAGATGAAGCACGCCATGGACGAAGACCGAATCAAGTCTGTGTACAACATCATTGCCGGCACTTCAGCCGAGCCTTGTCTTACTTATCGTTCTTACTTTAGGCAATCACCAGGTGACACGGCATGACGGCTCAACTCCCACAAGATAGTGTCAGGAAGCGAGGAACAAGATCGCCAATCACCTCAACTACGCCAAATGGAAAGAGTCGGCTTTCTCCGTGGAACAGTTTAGGTGCTCCAGATGGCTCCTGGGGGCAAAGCCGAAGAACTGTCCTCTCGAGATTGTGAACTTGCTGACGGTGACAGAGCATTCACAGAGGCTGCACATCGACTTGGTTATCCACAGCTTCACAGTTGCCGGCAAGAAGTTGAGAGCCTCCTCCCGGGGCAAGATGAGGGCATCGGTGGATGACTTTGCCAAGATGGCTGACTTTGCCTGTGTGTACTCCAGAGTGTTGGAGAAAGCACGTCCGCTGAGTTCGTGGGACGACAAGAAGGAGCAGAGTGTGATGAAGTGTTTCATGAGCCGGCCACGAGAATGCACATTAAACGCGTTCTAAGCTAGTTTGCAGCCTTCTGTTGCTAAGGGATTACTGGTCGGAAATCGAAGCTACGATCACGGCGAAACTGCCGACCTTCAAAGTCGAACATCTCGCGATATGGTCTGAGTTCATCGAGCCGAAGACGACGTCTGTGAAGCTGGACCCCCAGGACGAGGTGACGTTGCAGGAGCGTGCCGACACTGTTCGTGCAGCCAAGTTTAGGGAGATCAGAGCCAAAGTGGCCGAAGACTCGCACAGAATGACGGCCTTCAACACCAAGACGCAGCAGCGAGACATTCGGACGCATGTTGTCGAAGTGATGCACATGAAAAACCAGAATGCCATCGGGGCCAAGCCCCTTGCCAGCTGTCAGGTTTCATCGGTCAACAGTTGTGTCACTGGCAAAGTAAACAGTGACACATGTCATGTCGTCTCTTCTGTGCTAAGGCTCGCTGAGGAGCACATGGACAAATGCGCTTCTGTTCTGATGTGCTCGTTGGATGAGTTCGCAAAGCGTGTGCACTATGGCTTCACAGCAGCAGCATCCCTGCTGGAGGCCGAAAAGGGTGAGTAAACCTCCAATCCTAAATCCAGGTTTTGATTGATTGAGAAGGAAAAGCTCAGGTTTCCAAGACGGAGCTGCACGTCGTCGTGTGGTGCGATTGCACCAAACTGGGAATCATGCAACAGAGTGAGATCAATGCCTTGGCCGAGAATGCTGAGAGCTTGCTGCGGCAGAACCCCGAGAGTCCGGAGCTCGGACTGAGAGCCATGCAGCAGTCAGATATTACAGCTTGTCTTCCCGCAATGTGCTTTGCGCATCCTGCTGCAGGATCGGTTCTCGTGTTGCTCCCCCCTTTGATGGGTGGATCAACCTGTGCTGTGAGCATGCGCAGCGACATCAGGTGTTCGGCTTGAGATTTAGTGCACACTGATTGTGTGAGTGCCGAGCTGACAATGACGACTGTGCTACATAGCTGCTACATGCAGGAAGCTGGAGGACAAGTTTCTCGACAACAACATCGAACTGAAACCTTTCTTTCTGAATATGGACATCTCAAATGTCCATGGCAACAGAGACATTCCTTCCTCGTTCGTGTGCTACCTGGGCCTGCTTGACAGCACCCTGCCCACAAAAGGAACTTTGCATCGAGCATGGCGGAGTGCAAGCACGGGAGCGGACAAGGAGAATATCAACGTGCTGCCTGGCCTGAGTGTGAATGAGGACATTTGACATGCTTGCTTATATGTCTTAGATTGGCAGATTTATACACTTCCGTTTCGGCTGAGGTTCTGCAAGAAAGAGTTGTGGTGCAAACAAGCATTGCAGCAAAGTCAGTATCCAGCTGCGCTGGAGGAGAGGGACTTCATTGTCCCGGGGGGCAATCTCTGGTCCAGCAACGAGGGTCGACGGAACCTTACAGACCAGCAAGAGCTGGCCCAATGGCTCGGTGGACTGTCTGTTCCCACTCAGATTTTGAGCAGTCTGTTGAGCGACTCGAACAAAGCAGTGATTTTCAACCCGACCGCCTACGACGGCACCTTGGAGAAAGCGGCCATTAAGCTCGGCTACCCTGTCTTCTCGACTGCCTCGACCACAGGCCCTTGGAAGTGTGCCAAGGACATGGTGCGGGATTTCCTCATGGAGGCTTGGTTGGATGCTGTTCTGTTCCAATGCTCCAGCCCTGTTATTGATCCCACAAGTCTTCTCGTTGTAGGCATGGAAGACGAAGACAGAGCCCATGGACAAGGTGTCGCCGATGTTCAAGAGGCAGCCCGCAGCCGAGGACCTTCCGGCTGAGGTCTCAAGCCCCTCTTTGACGATTTGCAACATGGCGGATGGCAGATTGAGTATCCCGCGGGAGATTCGGAATGAGTTCTTGGGATGTGCAGTTCATGGACCGGAATGGAGGGAGCTACTGAGCAAGTTCGACAGAGAGTGGTCGTCCCCGACGGAAACGGTTGCGGCTCGGCCAAGACGTGCTTGACATTGTGTGATTGAAAAGCCTTTCAATTGATAGTGATGTGGTTCAGTTTCATGGTTGTATGTCCTGAGGCTACTGCTCCTAATCCTCCAGCTCCTGTCGCTGGCGGCGATGCCAGTACAGCTCCCGAAACCCTCGAGGCTCAAAGCCACTTCACTGGCGGCTTTTGCACCGGGTCAACCCCACCTGGGAATAAGCTGCACGAATATGCGGGCCCGAACAGTTCGGTCTCCTTCGTGATCACCGAGGGTCCCCAACTCTGGCTGGTGGCCAAGCAAAGCTGCCGATGGACGGCGGAGGAACAGGGTCCGCTGGTGATGCACGGCCCGGGTATTTGGCTGGTCGACGAAAAGGCCAAAAAAGCGAAGGACGACGAGAGACTGGCGCCGAGAATGGTGTTCTGCGAGATGCAGAATGACTCAGCATCGGTTATTCTCGAGGCCGTTCACAGACACCATGCAACATGTTGCAATGAATCTTTGCTAGGCTTGAAAGTGATGTTGTGACATGGACACACTTCAGCCCGACTGTCTGTCAGTCCAATGGCAGCGACGGCCCAATCACTACGTTGCGGGCAGCCTTGCAAACTGTGGAGAGGTCTGGGCTAATCGATTACACTCTCGGTGGACACACCTGCACCCGACCGGCAGCAGTCACACAAGGACAGGAGACCGCCGACCGGTGTCCTGTTTGGATTGGACAGACATGTGGGGCCAGACATTGTCATGTACTGACCAGAGAGATTGAGACCAGAGAGGTTGGTGCAGTGTCTAAGGTTCGATGTGACTCCGGACCCGGAGAAGCCGGCAGGATGGAAATCCAACAACACGAGGTTGGAGCTCGTCAAGCACACCAACGCCGGTTCCTATTTCCCTTCGACGTCAATGACGTCATCGCCTGCTCTGCGTTATGCCACTTGGACAGCAGTTACTAGTGCGACTTTTCACTATTGCAGCTCGTGCTACAGGTGTGGCGCATCAGACAGTATGTCAACGAGAGGATGGTGGCAGCCGCTAAGCCTTTGTGGTACCCGCGGACAACAATTGTTTTGAACCAGGGCGACTGCCTTAGGGTGATGTAAGCCTCCGAGCACAGATCGGGAACCGAAAGGTGCACGAAAGGAGTCAAGATTTCTTTCGAGATGACTTGCCTCGGCAATCAACCTGTAAGAGTTTTATGTCGTTTGGAAGTGTTCAGTGATTGCAAGAAGCTGGCTGCCGTGGAGAGACGTCCATTTTCTCAGTGGGTCTGGCCAGGCCCTGGGGGGACTGGGCCGACCAATCGCTGATTCATCCAAGACTTCTGTCAAACAACGACTGATGAAAAGACTTCTTTCACTGTCCGCACATGGAGCACACAGGAGTGGATAAGTCATTGGTCAATGCAATGTTTGCATGCTTCGACCTCCTGTCAAGATACGCTGCTAGACTGCTGGAAGCCTGTAGGTTTTGACCGACCCTGTGCTTTCACGTAATGCCGATGCCGTCAACCACCGTCGTGGACCTCGATGCTCTTGAATACGACTTCGAGGAGCGGGTTGATGTTGCAGGAGCTTACTCCACAATATCAGGGACCCTTGCTCCAGCACGCCCGGCAATGTTCTGCATTACTGCGAGCGGTTCGGCACCGGTCGTCCAGGCTCGACACACACACACAGAAGCAAACCGCGAGAACAGTTTGATGTATCCCCGGTGGAGGTGAACGATGGTCTCCACGAAGGTGTTTCCTCGGTGGATAATATGGAGACACAGCCCTTGGAATCGTCGGTTCCGGGGGAGATCTCTGAGGCAGTCCAGGCACGACACAGAAACACACACATCACAAGCAACCACCGCATCTCGACAAGTTTGAAGTATCCCCGATGGAGGCAGACAATGTGCGCAGAGAGCTCGTCTTCCCATCATCGCTTCCGACGGAGATCTTGCCTGCTGAGTCCTCGCAGACCGAGCTGGAGCAGACGTTTGGCACCGCAGAGACACCCTCCTTGCGGAGACTGACTGGCGGGCTTTTGGATTCTTTGATGAAGTCGCCGGAGGATGGCAAGCCGAAGGCTCTGCCGTTCGTGTTTGGGATCGTTATGCATGTGTGGCATGTGAAATCAGGAACATCTTTCTTCAATTCGTCCTGTCTAGGAGACGGATGCGGATTCTTTGATGAAGTCGCCGGAGGATCGCAAGCCGAAGGCTCTGCCGTTCGTGTTTGGGAACGTTATGCATGTGTGGCATGTGAAATCAGGAACATCTTTCTTCAAATCGTCCTGTCTAGGAGACGGATGCGGATTCTTTGATGGAGTCACCGGACGATGCCAAGCCGAAGGCCCTGCCGTTCGTGTTTGGGAACGTTATGCATGTGTGGCATGTGCCATCGGGAACATCTTTCTTCAGCTCGTCCTGTCTAGGACACGGATGCGGATTCTTTGAAGGAGTCGCCGCACGATGCCAAGCCCAAGGCCCTGCCGTTCGTATTTGGGAACGTTATGCATGTGTGGCATGTGAAATGAGAAACATCTTTCTTCAGTTCGTCCTGTCTAGGACACGGATGCGGATTCTTTGAAGGAGTCGCCGGACGATGCCAAGCCGAAGGCCCTGCCGTTCGTTTTTGGGAACGTTATGCATGTGCGGCATGTGCCATCGGGAACATGTTTCTTCACCTCGTCCTGTCTAGGTGACGGATGTGTACATCACAGCATCGACGGAGACAGGGGAGCCACAGATCAACATGACGGAGGATGACAAGAAGGAGGTCGCTTCTTCTGTGCCGACAGAGAATGTGGAGCCACAGATCAACGTTCCGGAGGATGACAAGAAGGAGCTGGCTTCTTCCGCGTCGGCGGCGAATGGGAAGCGCCCCCCGGACGATGCGAAGCCGGAGGTGAAGCCGAAGAAGCCGAAGACAGCGATGATGCTGGCACACGATGAGTTCCAACGGTCATGGTGCTTCGGATGGTTTAGGGTTTAGCATCTAATCGGACAAACCAGTGCCAGGTTAAGATACGAGGCTGAAGGGAGCTCGTTTTTTCTTCAATTTGTTCGTCATAATAATGGTTTCCAAATAAGGATCCGAAACCATCCTAACGACGACGTTAACAAGAAGACATTGGCCCAACGGGTGAAGGACGCCAACGAGGCATGGATGATCTCGAGCGAAAGAGCAGCGCTGGTTAAGCCGAAGACAGCGATGATGCTGGCACACGATGAGTTCCAACGGTCATGGTGCTTCGGATGGTTTAGGGTTTAGCATCTAATCGGACAAACCAGTGCCAGGTTAAGATACGAGGCTGGAGGGAGCTCGTTTTTTCTTCAATTTGTTCGTCACAATAATGGTTTCCAAATAAGGATGCGAAACCATCCTAACGACGACGTTAACAAGAAGACATTGGCCCAACGGGTGAAGGACGCCAACGAGGCATGGATGATCTCGAGCGAAAGAGCAGCGATCATTGCAGGACGCAAAGGCGTTCATCCATGAGCTAAAGAGGTGATGGTCACAATGAGATTCGCAGAACAGAGGGCAATAGGTTGCTATCCGAAAACATCCTTTGTAAACGAAGACTCGACAACTTCAACCTTCTGTCTTGAGACTCTCAGGATTCCATCAGGAGTCAACGCTTCGGCTCCGGAATCTAGTTTTTGATTCTGTAGCAAACTCAGAGCGAGCAGCTGCCTGGAAGTTCGGCGGCGGGGATCCGTCGATGCCTGACAATTGGAAAAAACAACGCAGCAGCTGCGACTCATATGGGCACGGTCAGCGACTCAAGCACAAATAAACTGTCACTCTGAGTCTGTCAGGTACTACATGACGACGTTTTTTGGCTGGGCTGCGGCGCACCGAGTCCGAGTGTCATCAGAGGGTCCACTCTGGGATGAATCAGGAGTAGATGTCAAGCCACAGCTGCTGAAGGTTCGCGTTAGCTAGCAAAGCCTCTGCAATCTGATCTTCTGACTGTTGACCGTAGCCGTTGAACACTTGACAAGACCGGATTCTGGAGAAGCGCATTGCCGTGGATGTCGCTGTGCCGCTCTGCTTCAGGTCGTTGATACATCTGTGACGAGCTGAATGACTGCGTATCTTCGATACTTGAATGGCACCTGCTTCGGGTGGAGGCACGAACGACTTTCGAGCTGTCCGGATTGCTTTCGCCATCGCATCCTCTGCTGTCCAAACTACAGTTCATGTCCCCTAAGCCCTAAACCAACCCTAAGCTTTAAAGTCTAAGAACGTTCTGCTATGCGTACTTGTCAAGTCACTTTGTTCCTGTGTGGTGTGGCGCAGTCCTTCCGTGAAGCCGGAAACAAATGACCTTCACCTTCGAGTGGAAACTTCCAGCAATCCATGAAAGTCACCAAACCTCTGCTGCCCCACATCCTCGTGCGAGAAATCTTTCGACCGCCTTCAGCCTTGAGCTTCTCCAGGAACAAGACTGCGGCTCGGGATAAGGGCTTTAGCATCTCAGCATGCCCCTTGAGTTCTCGAACCCGCACCTTATTGGTGTCCCATTGGATGTCCTGAAGCTGCAATCGTAAGATTTCCGTGATGCGGCAGCACAATAAATGTGCCAAAGAAATTGCAATGAGCGCCCATGTAGGTCCGGTGTTGGCGAGATGCTGAAGGAATGCTGCCCACGCTGCCCCAAGCAAAGGCTCTGCTTTTCCTCTTTTCTTGTTCGACACAGGCTTCTTCGCATGTCCAGCTTGGGATCTCCTCTTGACGGGTGCCATCGCAAATGACTCGATTGCTTGCTAGCCTGACTCCGCTGTGCACGGGCCGAACCATAATAAAGAAAGATTGGCACGACGTCGCTGCTTAGAGAACCGGTCGCTGAAAGAGAGTGCCCTTTCTCATCGGTAGGCCTGCATGAGAGAAAAGTAAAGTAGTTCAAGCGATACTTGTTCGGCCATCGAATGTCAACAAAAACAATACTTGGCCGGGCAACAAAGGGTTGCATGAGAGCAAAGTAGTTCGATACATGCTTGGCCAGCGTATGTCAAAACCATGCTTGTCGATATTCCGGAAATCGCATTTGAATCATCGTTGATGCTACAGACAAACGGCCTAGTTCATAAGGTTTACAACAGACATCAGCTGAGAGTCATGTGCATCTAAGGATGACTGTTGATGCCATTCCAATGCATGTGGAAAATGCGCTTACGGAGAGTGCGAGAGTGCGCTTACTGATCGGTAGGCGCGCTCCCACAGCCCTTGAGAGGACTGCCCAAGCCGCCGAGAGGACTCCCTTGGCCCCTGAGAGCACTCCCAAGCAACCTCGGCGAACTCCCCGGACCCTCAGCGAACTCCCCTCTCCTTCTGCTTGTTCAACCCTGCTTGTTCAAAGCCCGTACTTGTCGGAAGCCAAACCATCTCGGTTACCGAAGAGGCCCTCTAGGAATTCCCTTGAATACACCCTAGACCCTAAGCCAGACCCTCCATTATCCCATACTCACTGCAGCCCACTTTATTATAACTAGTGCTTTTTCATCAGACTCAACCACGCACATCTGTAGCCTTGTCGAAAGCGAATCTATCTCGGTTACCGAAGTCTTCTACGCAACTCCCTCGAAGACAGCCTAGACCTTAAGCCAATCCCTGCATCACCCTATATTCACTGCAATCCACTCTACTACAACTCGTGGTGAGTCAATAAATTCGCTACGCACATCTGTAGCATCCATGAGCACCAAATCAAGTGAGAAGCCGTTGCAAATATAGAAAGCCACAGCCCTCCTCCCTACATATAGGAGCCCAAAAAAATGCAGACGCCAGGCCTGTCCCGCCCAAGCATTCACGGCAGCCGGAAAAACACAGCACAAGGCCTGGGAAAGGGTCCGGATTTCCTCACTGTCCGAGCTAGGCCTGTCTGAAGGTCGAAAGGGGTTTCGTATTATTTGACGAGCGTGTGTCTTTAGGTCTTAGGCCTTCTTATTTGGTGGGGGTGTAGGTAGTGTTCTGGGTGTAATGCATCAGTGACCGGGCCACAGACTCCAAAGTAGTTTGCATCTGTTAGGCTTGATTCCCTGAAGTTACTTCTGGTACATGGCATGTGTCTGTGTCTTGGTGTGGATGCTGCTGCTCGTGCTGCCGTTCCTGGTAGATTTTTGGTGATGGTTGTGGTGAAGGCCGTGTAGCTGCTGTTCTGGCACATGGCATTGTCCGCAAACAGCTGCTTGGGAGGTGTTATTCAAGACAGCTGGCTGAAGCATGTGGACACGAACTGTTCTCTTCCAACATGTAGCATCAGCACTGGGCTATCTGCAGGTAGATGAAAAAAACCAGCGACGATCGCAAAAGATGTGCCCCGCTGACAGAGCCGTTCTGTATCCCAGGAGATGAGAAGGCTATAACTTAGGGTATAACAACGGACCTGATGCACGAACCTTGAACAGCCAGCCAGCCCCCAACGAAGCCACCCTCCGGCAAAAGCTGAGAATCACTCCACATGTGCCGCATCCTGGCGAGGAAAGATGTAGTCAGCCGAAGCTATCTTGACGAAGCACTGCCACTCGAATGATCGGACTTGTGCTGTTGGCAGGAAGTGTGTACGAGCACACATCACATGTTGATCTTCAAATTAACCAGCAGAGTTTCTTCTGCGATGAGACGGTGCAGGTCCTGTGGTTTGCTTCTTGGCCAGTGTCCATGCGAAGGCCTGCATCTTAGACTGTGCAGTGTCTCTTTCAGTCCATTTGCGTTTCCTAAATAGCTGGCCCACACATATTGCTTGTGTTGCTAGAACAGCGACCATCAGATCATCGAGAAGAAAGAGAAAATGACCTTTCCTCAATGACACAGAACAGGAGGCCACCAACTTGAAACAACCGGCCATGCTTGTGGATGTGCCTCGAATGAAAAGCTCTCAAACTTGGCTCCGAAACAATCGAAAATCAGCCCCAAAGCCTCAGCCCAAAAACTCTAAAGCCTAAAACCCTATCTAAAACCCTAAAGCTCAAAAACCTAAAACTCCAAACCCTAAAACCCTAAAACTCAAGAACCCTAAAACTCTAAAACCCTAAAACTCTAAAACCCTAAAACTCAAAAACCCTAAAACTCAGTGTCAACCCATCACCCGAAATCCCCCAAAAATACCGGCAATCTCCTTGAGGCTCCTCGGAAGGTGTCGATGATGCAGCGGCCTTGGCACCGCAGCAGAGCAGAGATTTTGATCGTCAGCTGATCACACGACATTCAACCACCTCACCGTCGACTGTGTTGCTCAGCAAGTGGGCCAGTGCTCATGATCGAAGCATGCAGCATGCATATTCTGTGCTGTGTTTGAGCATAATATACTAAAGCTGTGAAATGTCCATCTGTAACCACCGATGGGAATCGTGCAAACCTTAAACATGCAACCATCCGGCCGTGGCACTCATAAGCACTGCATACTGTGTGTGTGTTTCTTCTGTTTCCGCGGAAGCAATGGCCTCTGGAGGGGGTTCCAATGATGGATGGTGGAGCGACGAGGAGTGGCGAAAATGGCGTCAGGATAATAAGTGGGCCTCTGCTAGCGGAAAGCAGGGAGCGGATGCGGACAAGAAGCTTTCGCTGAAGCAAGAGAGAATCAAGGAAAAGGACAACTTCGTCCAGAAGCAGCTCGCAGATGCAGCAGCGCTGCTGCAAAGGTCAGGTGGCCAGTCTTCGTCCTCGTCCAGTTCCAGTGGTGCTCTGAAGTTTGAGATGCCGTCGGAGTGGTCGGTGACTATATTCAATGCAGACGAGAGAGACAGGAACGAGAAAAAGAAGCAGCAGTCCTTCGCAGACCTCGGACGGTTATGCAACAATCGTCTGAAAAGCATGTACCAATGCTGGCAATCCGAAGCTACCGCTTTGAGGCTTCAAGGAGGCCTGGGCCACCAGGCAGCGGTGACTCTTCTGAGTCAAGAGAAGCTGGACACTCGGCAGAAGACGGACGAGCAGGAGGCCAAGATAGAGGCCCTGGAGTCCGAGCTGAGGAAGCTTCGCAACGAGATGAAGGAGAAGGACATGAAGCTTCTGGCCACCGAGAAGGTGAAGGACAATCACAAAAAGGAATGTGATGATAAGGTCAGTGCTATGTCCAAGGAGTGTGCGCAGAAGCTTGTGGCCATGGAGAAGGACTGCGAGAATCACACGAAGGAGTGTGACGAGAAGCTTCTGGCCATGGAGAAGCAGAAAGAGAGTCACACGAAGGAGTGTGACGAGAAGCTCAGAGAGAACTCCGAGGATTGGCAGTTGAAGCTGGACTTGAGTGTCGCGGAAGGCGACAAAAGGCTTCGGGACTTGGAGACGAAGCATGCTGCCATGAGACTACGGGCGGCGCATACCTTCGGAAAGTGGAAAGAGCGCTGCTCCAATCTGGAGAGGCGACTGATGAGGAAGAAGGAGCTTCTCAAAAGCAGCAAGCTGGAAGTTGAGCTTGCGAAGGACAGACAGAAACTTCAAAGCTGAAAGCTTGTCGTTTGTTAATGCTCTTAGAAACAGCTTGACAGGATCTGTCAAGGCCACGGACAAGCAAGCCGCGAGCGGCTCTTCAGCATGCATACTGTGGTGCTTTTTACATGTAAAACACGTATCAAGCACTCATCTCAGGAAGGACGGACATCGACTACTGGACCTCCGGTCCCTTGGTTCCTTCGGAGACACTTGCGCTCGTTGTGGTGTGTGATTGTGCTGCGAAACATCTAATACAACTGCATGTGTCTTTTTGAGGCTTCCCCGACGAATGCTGAAGTTTCCTCAAGGGTTCCTGGGCATGCATAAACATGGTTCTTACTCGGAACATGGCTTTTCTGTGACCTGAAATCAATCATTTCAGGCTGGGCTTGCATCGGGACATGGCTTCGAGTCAGTTCCTGGGCCCGCATCGGAATTCTATTCTCGCAGATGATTCTTGCAACACAAGAAATAAAGCTTCGCAAATCCCTGTGAGGAGGAGGAGGACAACGACTCGAACTTTCCTCCTGCGATGCCTCTTGCAGCTTCTAGACAGCATGTTGAAGGGTGTTTTCTGAAGGGTCGAAAGAGCGTTATCTTTCCCACAAAGGACGGACCGCAGATGACGACGTTGCCCCTCCCGAAACATGAGGAGCGGGAGCCACATGGTGAAACGTTTATCTTGCAGCGACCGACTACAAATTTCTGAGGACGCTTTGGTTTCGCCGACGAGTGCCGGGTCCCCCACTTCTCCGGCCACGGACCGATCGCGATCTCCGAAGTCCACGAGGCCACAGACTTCGCTAGTTTGTTTGTTTCCCTGGTTTGGAAGCCTTAGATGTCACAGATTCTGATTCTGGTCCGTTAGGACTCTGCTGGTGGATGAGCGATCCTGAGTGAGGGCTGCGAGGAAGCAAGCTTCTGAAGGTGCTTGCTGTGCCTGCTTGACGAGCCACATGACATGCCGTTTGCTGTCGCTACAACAGGTTGCATTAGCACATAGCCACATAGCCAGCCTGGTTTCGGGGCATGCATGTGGCCTTTCTTTCAAGCGTAGCTCTACGGCTCCGAGGAGCTCCACAGCCCCCCGATCAAGCCCTGGACCTGCTTTAGATCACCGAACAAATCCTCCCGCAAGCTGTCGTCGTGAATAAGACCACTAAGTTAGATACCTCGATGTGTGGAGTTCGCTCGGTTTGTGCAGGGAAGTCGCCTGGGATTCTGATTCTGTGGCGAGCTGCCCAAAACAGCAGTTTGCAACAGTGTGCTTAGCATGCGTCCGTGACTTCTCCAATCGTCTTGCAACAGCCGTGATTAGTCTTGGTATGGTAACATGATCATGTCACACTCAGGTCTGATTGGTGCCGTCTAGAACGGGAAGGGGAAGGCAAGTTCGGACACACAGCTATTTCGGATGCTGGTCTTTGTGCTGCAAGCAAGAGCGAAAGCGAGAGCCAGAGCGAGAGAGAGAGTGGAGAGAGCGAGGGAGAGAGAGAGAGAGAGAGAGAGAGAGAGAGAGAGAGAGAGAGAGACAGACAGAGACAGAGCGAGATTACTGCCACCGTACCACCGCTACCGCCACCACTACCGCCACTGCCACCGCTATCGCTACCGCCACCGCCAGGCACCACCAGTACTACCACCAGTACTACCACTACTACTACTACTACTACTACTACTACTACTACTACTACTACTACTACTACTACTACTACTACTACTACTCTGCCACTAGTACTACCACAACCCCCCCCACCACCCCACCACTACAACCCCCCCCACCACCCCACCACTACTACTACTAGTACTACTGCTAATACCGAGACGAGACCGACCGGCTGGTTCGGGCCAAGGCTCGGACATCATCTCTTCGGGTTGATGTCCATGGATCTTCAGCCTTCGGCAGTGGTAGTACTAGTAGTGGTAGTAGTAGTATTAGTAGTAGTGGTAATAACCCCTCTTCGGGGTTCGGTCTCCCCTCTTCGGGGTTCTTACTGACCCCTCTTCGGGGTCCGGGCTCACCCCTCTTCGGGGTTCTATCTCACCCCTCTTCGGGGTTTGCAGTGATCCCTCTTCGGGATCCGCGCTCACCCCTCTTCGGGGTTCTATCTCACCCCTCTTCGGGGTTTCGGGAAGCAACCCCTCTTCGGGGTTGCTTCATGCCTGCCTTTGCTGCTCCCGCTCGATGAAGTCGTGTGCCTGACATCCTGACGGGACCTGCTTGTTCGGTTTCTCTCTCTCTCTCTCTCTCTCTCTCTCTCTCTCTCTCTCTCTCTCTCTCTCTCTCTCTCTCTATCTCTATCACTCTCTCTCTCTCTCGCTCTCTCTCTCTCTTTCTCTCTTTTTCTTTGCTTTCCCTCTTTCACTCTGGCTTTGTCGCTCTGTCTCTGTCTCTCCCTGTGTCTGTCTCTACTCACTCACTCACTCACTCACTCACTCACTCACTCTCTCTCTCTCTCTCTTTCTTGCTCTCTCCACTCTCACTCTCGTCCGTTGCCCCTGTCCCAGGTTCCTCTCTGCATGGTGCCTCCTGTCCCTTGCCCCCGACCCCCCCCCCCCCGCACCCCTGCCCTCTACCCCAAAACCTTATCCCCAACCACATGAACCCCAACCTCGCTCTCTCTCTGAAGCTTTTTGGCTCTCTTTCTCTCTTTTTCTTTGCTTTCCCTCTTTCACTCTGGCTTTGTCGCTCTGTCTCTGTCTCTCCCTGTGTCTGTCTCTACTCACTCACTCACTCACTCACTCACTCACTCTCTCTCTCTCTCCCTCTCTTTCTTGCTCTCTCCACTCTCACTCTCGTCCGTTGCCCCTGTCCCAGGTTCCCCTCTGCATGGTGCCTCCTGTCCCTTGCCCCCGAACCCCCCCCGCACCCCTGCCCTCTACCCCAAAACATTATCCCCAACCATACGAACCCCAACCTCGCTCTCTCTCTGAAGCTTTTTGGTTCTCTCTTTAAAATGTTTGGGTGCGACGTGCAGGTTTAGGGCTGGGGTTAGGGTTCTTGTTGCTTCTTGTGCCTCGGATCTTTCTACTGGTTTCCATCTCAATACGAATCTAAAACTCTCTGCTGTTGGAACAAGACAATTATTTGTTGCCCAAGAACAAGAAATCTATTCTGGACCTAATTTTGTATGCTTCATATTTCATACCTTAGGCTTTCTGAAACCCAAAGATTTAAAATTTGTTTCCATGTTTGTCGGTTGACAGCAAGATTCCATGAAATCCGCCCAAACACATTTGCATCAATCCAAAACAGCAACCAAAATTTGATAACACAGCGGTTTCAATTTCAACAACAAAAGAAGTCATGAAAACCAGTTCTGCTGTTGTTTGGTTTTGCTCACTATCCAATTCAACCTATTTAGGGTTTAGGGCTTAGGGCCAGGGTTTAGGATGTAGGGTTTAGGGTTTTGAGCCGAAACACAGGAAATCCTGGGCTTGTGTTGTTCCCCTCCAAGTCCAACAGTGCACAAAGAATGGAATAATATTACTCCTGGGAGTCGTTTCCTTTCAGTGTCACGTCAGACACACACTGACAAACGCCGTGGGTTTTTGAGCCGATCCTAAAGTTTTTTCTTTCCTTCCCACACCACATCAAAGGACAATCTGTACAATGTTGAGCACATATCAGACAGCGATCTGTACATAGAGAAACGGCAAACCAACGGAGCCACGTGCTTCTTAGTTTTTTTTCTTAATCGTCCCAGGTGACCTTGGGCGCAATCAATGGTTGGCTCGCTCTCCATTTCAAAACCATCAGAGGAAGCTGTGTGTTCAGCTTAATAGCATGATGTCTGGTCTTGAGCCGCTTTAAGGTATCTCTTAGGGTTTTTTGGTTTCCTTCCGATGCCACCTCAGGCAGTCACAGAACTGTACACGGATTGGAAAATAGTGGTTCTAAGCTGACAAAAGCGGAAGCCAGATGCCACGAAATTGGCGCCAGATGCCACGAATATAACTTTCATGTCCTGATACGGCACCCACGGCACCCAACCCAAAGCTAAACCCTTCATCCGGAACCCACGATATGCAGAACCAAAGCTCCTGCTCAAACTTTGATGGTAGACCCCCTAGAACCAAGCTTGATGGGAAGTGCCAAGAAGCAGTCGTTGATCCACCTGCAGAAAGTCGGTACCTGGGCCGGGCCCAGGGGAATAAAGACTAAAACCCAAAGCTTACAGGCTAAGCCCACTATAGAAACTTCGTAAGCGTGCCCCATTGCGAGCCCAGTGGATACTGCCCCGGTAATGATCATCGGTATCTTAAATTCGTCACTTGTTCGAATCCCACGAACACACACAGCCGAAGGCTCTAGAGCTACAAGACGAAAATCTGCGGTCAGGCCGATCTGTCGAGTCTCGGTGGGTTGCATTGGAGTCAGCAATGTATAGCCAGGTCGTCCATTCTAGATATCCAGCAGCCTCAGATCGAAAGGGCATTGTTTGGTCGTAAAAAACCCAACTTCTCATGACCGGGGGCTCTGACGAGGTCATGCTTTTTGTTCTGAAGAAACTTTTGGGGTATCTGGGGCGAACTGCTGACTATGCACTGGGTTCCATTTGCATATCAACGTAACCTATACAGGTACGGTTGGGTATACCTAGTTAACATTTGACGACAATATATAGCACAGGTAATATATATTAGATCCTATAGGAACCCCAGGCCCTATGTACCACATTAGAAGCCAGCAGCAATTAATTCATGTCCTGATACGGCACCCACGGCACCCAACCCAAACCTAAACCCTTAATCCGGAAGCCACGATATGCAGAACCAAAGCTCCTGCTCAAACCTTCGATGGTAGACCCCCGAGAAGCAAGCTTGATGGGAAGTGCCAAGAAGCAGTCCTTGATCCACCTGTCCAGAGAGTCGGTACCTGGGCCGGGGGAACAAAACCGTAAACCCCAATGCTTAAAGCCTAAACCCTAAACTGATAAATAATACAACTACTTCGTAAGCGTGCCCCGTTGCGAGTCCGGCGGAAACTGCCATGCTCCGGTACTGACATGATC